TTTTAAAGAACTTTTAAAGAACGATCGTTAAATGGAAACCTGTACTTAAGAATCTACTTTATGCAAAATTTATGGTGATTTATGCAAGTGATCACAAAAGGTAGGTGTAAAGCAACAACCATTCATGCAGTTAATGACTTGAGTACGTCAAGTCCTGTGCAAAAACGCATGGTCGCACGGGCCCGCCCGGTGCATTCCAGCCTGGGTTCCGTAAATGCTCGCTTTGTGAAAAAGTGATAAATGCAAATTTTTTGAAAAAATGCAAATTTCTAGTTCTCTAAAAAATGGAATTATTGCTCGAGCGGTCATTTGTCAAAAAATCCATGTTCATTTACGTATACGACTGCGGTTCAGGTCCGGATTGCGAACGACTTTTTGAAAAAATGCAAATTTCCAGTTCATTGAAAATTGAAAGTATTGCTCGAACGGTCGTTTGTCAAATAATTCATGTTCATTTGCATGTACAACTGCGGTTCAGGCCCGAGTTGCTGACGATTTTTGGGCTGAGGAGCTGCTTAAGGCTATGGTTGGAGAGCTAGAGAGCTGAGTTTAAAATTTTTATCTCGCACGTGCATAGAGAATACCCCTGCAAAGTTTCAGCTTTCCACGTTGCCTGGTTCACGAAATCGTTTCCCGCCAACACATTTCTTTGAGGGTCCCGTACGCCGGGTCTAGGCGCCTATGGGGAAATATCTTAAAAAGTGAAGATGACACACGGGATAGGAACACATATCCAAAGTTTCAGCCTTGCAGCTTTCCTCGTTGCTGAGATGAAAGTGGGGAACAAAATGCACTCGCTTTCCGAACACACACACACAGACAGCCTCTCGACAATATGCCTTTTTGTTGGCTGTAGCAGCGCTATAGCTCTGCACAGCAAAAACGCATAAAAACGAATATTGTCGAGAGGCCACCTGTGTGTGTGTGTGTCAGAAGCGAGTAAACTTTGTCGCCCACTTTCATCTCAGCAACCAGGAAAGCTGGAAGGCTGAAATTTTGAGTATATGTTCCTATCCCGTGTGTCATCCTCCCGTTTTAAAATTTTCGCTCATACGCGCCTAGACTCCCGCATACGGACCTCCGAAAAAAACAAAGGCTGGAACGCACCAGGCGAGCCGGTGCGATCATGCGTTTTTGCACAAAACTAAAGTAAAAGTATTGCCCGAGCGTTCGTTTCCAAAAAAACCGCGTTCATTTACATATA